TCACACACTGGCCAAGGCACGGCCACATGCGCCGGCCACGCTCAGGCACGTGCCTGGCACACGGACGAAATCTTTAATGTTGTTAGGGAATATTTCTCTAAATAACAACATATTCCGTCTAAAAACTAACAGTGATACCTGACGCCGTTAGTATATTTCGTCAAAGTTGACAAAATATTCTTTGTCTTCTCCGGTGGTCCTCGCTGGAGCCATCGTCTATGTCGCCGGGTTCTGGAAAAACTTCAAACTTCAATATCTTCATCAAAACTCAACCAAACTCTATGAATTTTATATGGATTTAAATCTTTCGATGAGTAGAATGCAACCATACCTAATTGGGGTCCTAAAACCGACGAGAAATTGTCAGAAGATTCCTCGAAATTCTGGCTAAACTTGTAAATCTACGTTCGAGCTTATTCCGATGTCCATAATACTCCAAAATTGTTCCAAAGTTCTAGGGAAGCTAAAAAAGTAACTTCTTAAGTCTTAAAACTAGGTAAATCCTTCGCGATCACGTCAGAGAAACCTCTCGCCGAAGCTTGGGTATCTCAAGTTCTACATGCATTTCCTTCAAACAAATGGTACGGCTAGACTCGTGAAGTCGAAGGGAGTATGATGGTGTCGTCCTTAAGCTCGATTTGTGTGTGTGTGATGGTGTTTGAAGGTTAGGGGGTTTGGTCGTATGGATGAGAGGGAGAGTTTGAGAAAAAGGAAGAGGATGAGGGAGGTTGGCGCGTGTATGTGTGTGTGTGTCCGGATTGGGCGATTTTAAATTGCCTCAAGCCCTAATTGGGCTGCATGTTTACGGCTAACAATTGACCCCAAAACAACCCTAAAATTCTAATTACACCCAAGAAAGTAGGTGTGGTGATTGGTCCATTTCCTTAGCCCAATTACACATTCATTTATTCGTAACATTTTCATTACGAACCCAACTCAGCTCTAACTCGCGTCAACGCTCTCGTGACATCAAGTACAATTTAGTCACATCAGCGAGAAAATAATTTAAACTATATACGTACATCCACGTCACCAAGCCAACGAGGGCATAAACATCACTTACATACACGGAGATAAAATATATACCATAAATTGGGATGGGTCATCACATGCTGAGTAGCTTTCTTGCCATGATAATCCTTGGAAATATGACCTAGTTTATTACAATTATGGCATCTAGGTTTATCTTTAAACCAACATTCCTCAAAATGTAACTTATCACAATGTTTGCAAGGGTTCTTTGATGAATCAGAGGTACCAATAGCTTCACCAAATTGATTTGCCGGCCTATTATCCCAGTTCTTGCCTTTTGTCTTCCAATTCTTCTGAGGCTTGAAGTTTTGGTTTCCATTGTACCTGTTTTGCTTAGGAGCAATACTGAGATGAGCAAAAGCTTTCTCACTTTGATTATTAGAATGCCTATCAACCCTTTGTTCATATCCCTTTAGTATAACTACCACATCTTGAGCATCAAGAGTGTCTAGATCCTTAATATTTTCTCTCACAGATGCAAAATTATCATAAGACCTAGGTAGACTTATCAACAATTTCTGGACAACTCATTGATTACTCAAATCTTCACCATAACTCTTCATTTGACTGATTAAATCAAATAATCTAACTAGATATTCAGAGAAGGATTCATTTTCACCCATTTTAGTATATTCAAAATCACGATGTAACACTTGGAGTTTCATAGATCTCACATGTTTATCTTCCACAAATTCTTGCTTCAACACATTCCATACTATATTTGCTATTTCTTGTATGGCGATTCTCGAAAAAATCTGATCGGAAATTGCCCCTTGAATAATGCCAAGCACCTGGCAATGTTTTCTCTCAGTAGCTTGCTCTCTGTTGCCGAGAGTTCCTCCTCTTTCTTCTCCAGAGTAATAAAGCTTTTTTCACCTATATCCCAAAGTTCGTGTGACCAGAATATTATCTTCATTCTGATTTGCTAGAAATTGAATTTGTAGCAACAAAGCTCGATACAGCTCGAGTTCTTCGTTACACAAATTCACAGATTCATACCTAGTTTCAAATGATTGAACCTGGTTCTGAGGCCATCTTAGAATTTATTTTCAAGTTGTGTTTATCAATAGAGATTATTGTGACCTGAGAATTTACCTCAGCAGAATAATCACAAGATTTCAAGAAGAATATTTTGGAGAGAATTTCGTAGAGAAACTAGAATGCTTCTTGGATTCGATACTTTCACAAAGTGTGAGGAATAATATTATCGTTAGAGAGTGATAGAGAGGTGACATCACTCACTCATACATCATTACAAACTCATCTTAGCCATTCATCCTTAACTAATTACATAAGATGCTTACACCTATCATGAGCTATGGCTCACTACAATCTAATCTAAGATGCCATCTAGACTATGAACCAATGGCTCAAATTAAACCATCACATAAATCAGAAAATACATTTATAATTCAACATAAGTAGCATCCATCGCCAAATTTTATACACACTTTATTGAAAAAATAGGAAACGAAACACCAAGTAAAGAGAATTGACACACCCCGACCGAAATTAGGGCGTGCTGGCCGTCACGTGAGGGTGACGTAGTCATGTGCACAATGTAGAAGCAAAAGATAATAAAAGTATGAATAAATAAAAACCAAACTACACACAGAGTAGTTAACAAACAAGTGCAAGTGCAAGTGTAAAAAAAACAATATTCAAAGCATAGAAAGCCTAGTGTAGTATAGAGGAACAACACTAACTAAACACACCCATAAGTGGTACTACACTAGTGATAATCTGTCAGATACGCTGTGGATTCCTCGTAAGCCACCATAAGAGTAACCCAAACTAGAACCTGGAGGGGCGCAAAACAGAAAGTGTGAGTGGGCAAAAACAAAGCTTTTCAAAATCATTTCATTAACAAAAGTTCTAACCCCTCGCCGTAAAACCTGTATAGTTCCCAGAAAATAGAATATACACATATAACGAAAACATGCTTAGAAATATGCCATGTCGAATGCCTCCATATAAAATGTAAGTAACCCAGGTAATGTCAATCAATGCAAGTAACATGTCAGCCGGAGTCCCCTAACGTGACCTGTACGGCTGAATCTAGAGCTCAAATCTCCAACTCACTAACTATACCTGCACACGAATCGGAATCACCTAAAGTGGTCTATACGACAAGACTGGGTGTAAATAAATACGCTCAAGTGCTACGATTACGTGAAGACTGGGCGAATAATCGCGGGTCACCTACGAGTCGGAACCACCTATAGTAGTCTGTACGACAGGACTGTGCACCTAACTTGGATCCAAGATGAGCGTGTGGTGCGGGAGGTGAACATCACGTGAAGGACTGTGCCCTACTCTGGGCGGAAGCACTAACACCGGGGGTGCAAGTTATGAGCTCTCTATGCATATCATATAACTACTACGTCACAAATATAAACTATAACTTACCTGGCACTTACCTGTGCGTCCGTAGCACCAAACATACATATATGCAACTACTAATGCATAATTAAATAGGCAAACGCTATGCATGGCATTTAAAACATATAAATATTCCATATCATTTTCTGTGAAAAACCACAAGTATATAGGTATATACAGAAAACCAAAAGCCCACTCACTGGTATGTGGAAGGGTCGTAACCCCCTTGCCTCGAGTGACTGCACTCGTCCTCGGGATAGGTCTCACCTATATGCGAAACAACTATAAAAACGTCAATTTAAAGCACATAACCAAACTAGGTAATAACTTCTCATACTATGCTCAAATGGGGTGTGTGAATACACCAACGTGATCTACTCAACCTCATGAACATCCCCATATTTTAAAAATAATTTTCTGACGTCACATGCGCCCCCACACGCCAGCTAAGGCACGGCCAGATTCGCCCCCCATGAGCGGCCACGTGCCAGGCACTCTGACAGCGTCAGTTAACGCCGTCAGGAATATTCCGTTAAACCCTAACAGATTCCGTTAATACTGACTGACGGTGTTAGAATATCCATCCAAACTGACGGAATATTCCGTCTTCTTCCCCCGCGAATTGCCGGTCGTCGGAAAACTGGGAAAAACTTTAAACCTTTTGTTCTCACTCGATTCTTCACCAAATTTCATGAAATTTGCACCAATGGAAAGCTGGAGATGAGTAGAACAATGTTATACCTGTTTGAAACCTCAAAGATCACCGGATCTCACCGGGAAAATTCAAGAAAAATCTGCCAAACTTGCAACGCACGATACCAACGTCAAAAACCTTCCAACGAACCAATCCGAGCTTCCTAAGGACCTTACTAAGCTTCCGACAAGCTTCAAATTCCTTGAAAAACAACATTTCACGGGTACATGAACAGTGACCAAATCGGAGATTCCTGCTTCAACGTGAAATCGAAGGATTCCTTACTTGAAATTGGTATGGTTGGACTTGTATGGTCCTCACGAACACAAAGGTATAGTTTTCCACCTCGATCAGTGATGTTTGCAAGGGATTTGGGTCATGTCCGTACAAGGAAGAGAAAGAGAAAGAGAGAGAAAGAGAGTGTTCAAGATAGAGAAGGTATACGGGGGAAGGAGATGGGGATGAGAGTATGTGTGTGGTTCAGATGCAACCAGCTAAACATGACAATAACCACCCAAAATGACAAATAACCACTAAGGGCAAAAACGTCATTTCACACCTACGGTACGAATAATTCGGGATTGGCTGTCATAGAATGCTGTTATTATTGATATTAAAAAAAATGAGAACCAATTTTATTCTTTCTTTACACTTAAATAGAAATTGAATGAACAAAAGAATAATTAGCCTACTCTTGCTCCCACATGATGATGATGATCAGTAGTGAAATTTCACCTTACAAAAGAATTTTATCTTTTGTGCATCTTTGTTCTAGACATAGATGTTGAACCTTCCATGCGTATTCACGAAGAAAATAAAATGAAATGAAAGAAACTACTTAAGTCAATTGCAAAATAAAAGAGAGTAAATTAAACCATGAAAACATGCTCCTTTAAGTGGTAAAATCACACTGGAACATGGGTGGCATGAATGAATTGAGCTCACTGAAGATAACGTCCTCTCCCTCAGCGTAGCTGCTAGATTCTTGGCAGTCAAAGTAAGTCTGTATGTCATCGGGAAATGTGCACTGTGGTGTGCTCAACTCCGGCTGTGATGACAAATCGGTGGCTGTTGTCATTTCCATCATCTCCTTGAACTTTGACGACTGAAGAAGGAGCCCTAGGGCTGATGTGGCAGTGGTTGGTCTAGGCTGAGCCGTGGTCATGGTTTCTGCCGGACTATATGCAAGGTTGTGAAAGAAGCTAAGTCCACTATCTTGATCGTTAGGGTTTCGGACGACATTGGGCAATTTAGCCTCAATAGTAGGGTTAGGCTGACCGGAATTTTCGCTGTTGTTAGGACCATTAGGTTTTAGCCATTTGATGTAACGGCTGAGGTCAAAGTTCGTGACAGCATTGAGCCCACGGTACTCTATAGCCGCCATATCATATGCTGTTGCAGCTTCTTCTTGGGTAGCTGGTAACATTTATGATACAAGGCCAATGTTAGATTTAATCATACTATTCAACTTTTAATGCTATAGTGTTATTCATGTTTAGTTTTGTGTATGCAAGTCTCAATAAAAAAGACAGTTCTTATGTAATTAAGTAGAACGCTGTTCTCTTGGAGGATAGTATTATTCGTTAAGTCATTGGTGCATGACACTCCTTTTTCTTTTGATCAGGTTGGAATTCCGACAAAGTTTTTATCAAGGCTCATTATTAGCACTCTATCCTCTAGTTGTACGTATTTCCCTTATTCATGATATCGTACTTGAATTTCAAAAGTTAAAAAGATCATACACACACACACACACACATAAAAGACTGGCATACCATATATGAATTAGAAAATACATGCTTCAACTTGTAGTTGATTTCTAGCTAATTGTCGGTAATTCAAATCCCTCTTTCCAAACATAATCCTAACCCTTTGTCCTAAAAGATTAGACTCTCTTTACGCATGTGCAAATATATATTTTTTAATCTACATTTGCGAGGTGTGCTTAACAAATATAGGGAATGACTACAATACTTACATATATTTAATGCAATTATCATCTAACCGTCAGATATAATGCAAATATGTAATTTTCTGATCAGCTTAATTTGTTGCATATGTTTATTTATATTGGTGAATAAAAAGGTTCATTATCTGTGATCAAAGAAACAAAAAAAACTAAATTTTCTGTTTTGTTGCTGAACGTACCATATGTCCCGAGATAGAGGTACTTGTTTCCAAAGACTCTTCCAATTCGAGCTTCCCATCTTCCGTTGTGATGATGTCTGTTCATTAATAAAATAAGAGCAAGGAAAATCAAAATTCAGTCTATAATATGTTTACCGAAAAATAAAACAAAAAAAATTCAGTTTAGTATAATAGTACTATATGCTATGTGTATCGGATTATACAAAATCGTTCCAGTAAATAGTCTTGATTTATACCTTGCAACACCTCTATACTTCGAAACTCCCCGAGAAAAACCACTGCTCTTCCTGCAAATTCATCATAAAGAAAATAATACCTCATTAATCAACGGTTGTTTATGATCCTCGAGTCTACTAACTTTAGATGTAGAAGCTTAATTACCTTCTCAATGATCCAATATATTCCTCTCTTGATTGACCTTCCATTTCTTTCAGTTCTTTTGGATATGTCGATAACTACATTAATCGCAAGTGGGGTTATTTCTTAGTTTCTCCCTTGATTACTATTATGTAAGATCACTAAAAAATATATAATTGAGAAAATTAATTTACCGGAAAGTTAAGAATGGTATCTTGACCCCAGTACTTAAGAGCTGCTAAGTCATAAGCATGTGCTGCAGCTTCCTCATCATCATAGGCGCCTGAAAAAGGATGGAATGGATCAATATAATATATATACATACATACATATATATATATATATATATCAATCAAAATGATCTTTAACGATATTACATATAAAAAAATTGCACCTAAATTAAGTACGTAGTACCAATTAAATTAAATAAAACCTACCAAGGTAGACTGCATTTGAGTGCAATTCCATTCCAAGCATTCAACAGCGCCAACACAAACAAAACCAAGATTGAAAGACGAAATGGTATAAGAAACCACATCAATAAATCAAGCATGCATAAAGTATAAAAGTTGACGTACGTCGATGAAAAGTTAAATTAAATTTTTGGAGATGAGATTGTAAATACCTTGGCGGCCCTTCTTGTTTTGTGATTCATTCCAGCAATTCTTATCCCACAAATGAGCCTCGTATCGGCCAGTCCATCTGTGCCTGAATTGATAATCAAGCACGCAGCAAACCCATGCCATTTAGGGAAAAAGGTCAATAATTAAGCAAAAGGAATTCATCCAGTAATTAAACATATATGCAAATATGATTAATTGGTTGATTGCGCAGGTAGTTAATTAATCACCTGGTGACCCCACGATAAATTGAGCTACGTTGAGGAGGGGAGTCCCTTGGGACACTTCTCCTTGTTCGTTTGACCTTTGTGACAGTAGTGGTATTAGCTGCAGTAGCATTAGTGTTATTGTTTGCATTGAGTTTCTGGTTTTGATGAGATAACTTTGCCATGAAACTAGTACTGCACGTCTCAATCCGTCGGTCGACCAAAAAAGAATAATACGAGAAGAAGAAGAAGAAGGAGTTCTAATTGTGAGATAATTAGTTAAGTTTGAGAGATTGATATGACTAAGTCCTCCAAGTAAGAGGCTTATAAAGGGATGTGAATAAGCATGCGGGGAGAGAGAGAGAGAGAGAGAGAGAGAGAGAGAGAGAGGGAGAGAGAAAAAGCCGGATTGGAAGAGTGTGATGAGCTGTGCCAATCTAGAGATTGCCGGCTATGGAGGTTGGTTGTTTTGGCCGTCTTTAAACGGCTGTATCTCGTATCTTCTACCTTGTCCCACCCCTGACTTATATGTTATATTCCATTGCCATCATATATATTAAAATCTAAAAAGTATGCAGCCAATCTTGTCTTAATCAATAGGATGATCTCTCTCCCACCCTGTCTCTCTCAAGCACACGCCAGTATGTAATTTGGTATGACAACTCACAAATAGAAATTACCATTTGCTTGACGAATGTTTGTCCAACAAATCAATTTCCATCGGGCGAAGTTACTTCGCCTGAAGAAATAAACATTTAGTCGGGCAAACGTGGTCACCGGTTTTTCTTTTTCAGAGACTTTTGCTTGGCGAAAAACATTGGACAAGCAAGTAACCTTCGTCGGGCAAAGTTTTCACACAACGGGGAAGAATTAGGAAGTATTATGCCACCTTTTGTGTGATGGAAAATAAGTTTGTCGGGGAAGGTAACTGTGGATGCAAATTTCCACTGTCTTCTCCTTTGACAAAAATGTACTTGCAAAATAATAATACCTAAGATTAAGGCCAAAAGCCTCACGCGCCCATGATGAAGGGGCTTTAGCCGAAGAATCTCTGGTGCCAAAGTTAGAATTCTGAAAAGAATGTGTTTAGGAGTTTGTGGGTAGCAAATGACTTAGCTTTTTAGTGGGATAATATGGCTATTCATAGGGAAGTGGCCGGCCCTATTCGGAGAATAGTGGCTGACCATATATGGTGAAGTTGTGTGAGTAATTGCAAGATATTATGTGAAATAATATCTTGTAATTAACATGACAATTAATCCTAAATTAAAAAGGAAATTTGGGAGTTACTTTTTGAATAAGGATTTGATGAAGAGTGATGAGAGAGATTTGAATAAATACCATTTTGATCACCTTTGACTCTTCCTTGATTGAGGTATTATTGTCCATTGCATGCATGTGGGAATCCCAGTGTGCCTCGAGGGTAATTTTATCCTTTTCACCCAAAAGTCCACATGTCACCTCCATAATTTCTTGATTATTTTTGGCTCCACAAATGCCCCCACACCTGTTTGGCTACTCACAGGAAAGGGTAGTAGGTGTAGAGATTTTCCCTTGCTTTAGGATATACTAGCATTTGCCTACATACTTTGTGTGTATGAACACATTTTTTTAGAAAATGAGAAGGGGAGAGAGAGAGAGAGAGAGAGAACGTGGGGAGAGTGGGAGGTTTTTGTTTTTTTTTTTGTTTTTTTTGTTTTTTTTTGTAATTTTAAATATTAGAGATATTTTAACATTACTTGTAGGTGAGGTTTCAATAAAAAACAATAAAATTTGGACCTGTGAAATTACATTATTGCCCCATCATTTTTTTTGTGAGATAGAAGACTAAGTTGTCTTTTCACCCTCTTTTGGTTAACAAAGAGGGTTTCATTAATTAAAAGAGATAAGATTGTTTCCTATTTTGAAGTAGATTCCCACTTTGACTTGGAATTAGATTCTTCTAGGAAAGGGAAGTAAATCACCGTCAAAGTCTATTTAAACCTACTTTAAGTAGAGGATTAAATCAACTTCAGAGGGTAATTATTTATCCCTACAAGAAAGAGAGAAAGCTAGTGGATATTTGTTTCCCCTCCCTTAGCATTCTTCTTCGCTTGCCCGTGCAAAGAATCATCTTCCATTGATTTCTTTGTCTTCTCCATGCCGCATTGAGGTAAGAAAAATTTAATTTTCCTTGTCTTTTTCTTGGATGGTGCTGCTGTAGGGTAGCCGTCGGGGTGGCAGAGGCAAGGAGTCAACGCAGAGGAGGTGGTGTGGTAGGGACCACGACTTGGGCTACTAGGCTTGGCTAAAGCCAAAAGCAACTGTGAGGTTAGGGCCGCGGCTTGAGGCGCTTAGGGCGTAGTGTTGGGCAAGTCGCATGGCTTAAGCCCTATGGGCTCTTGGACCTGACGTGGGTTAGATTGGCGATTGAGAAAAATGAGGAGGTTGTGGGCCTTCTAGGTTACTGGAATGTTGGGCATGCAAGCCTTCTGCCTATTGGTGTGAGAGAGAACAATGAGGGAAAAACTAGTATGGGCTGAGCTCCCTTACTGTCTAGTTGAGCTGATAAAGATAAATTGCAAGGCCTGGCTCGTGGGTAGTCGAGGTTGATCTTTAGGCTACTCTACGCTTGCTGAGCCGCTCTCTAATTTGTTGAATGTCCTTCTTTGTCTATGTAGATTCAGAATTTGGCTCAACTCCCAAGACTTTTCCAAATATGAAGAAGGTGCACATTGCTTTAGGTATCCCCGTTGAGTACCGTGAATGGTGTTGCTACTTAGTCCTCTTCGCTGGGAGAAATGTGGGATGCCCCTGAGAGAGGAGATAAAGTAGATCAAAGCAGATGCATTGGCTCGTCTGATCGTAGTCGTAGAGCCTGCTATGAATGAAGGTGGAAAAAAGAGATCTTCCGCACCTGCTCAAGAGACGCCAGTTGAGAAAAAGCCGAAGGCTTCCTCTGTTACTCGTGAGGATTTGCCTGCTGCCGAGAGGCTTGTGAATGACTTGACTTCTTCCAAGGGGAAGAAAGATAAGGCTGCTAGATCTAAGTGTGAACATGAAAATTCTGTAACGAATGAAACAAGAACACGTGTACAAAGTAGATTTGTATTGATGAATTTATAGGGTTACAATCTCTGTTTACAATTTTCCTCTGATTTACTCTTCAAATTAGATGTAGATGCGTAAGTTGTTTATCCAAGGGTCGCGATGACTTGATCTCAGACGAACGATTGGACGATTGCTTCAAGTTTTAAGCTTGAAACAATGCGTGGATAGTCTTCACTTCTAGGTTTCTGTATGACCTATGGCAAAGGTGATGTTGATGTGGGATTTTGTTGATTCAAGGGTCTTGGTGACTGTTGGAGATATGCCCTAAAAGTCAATCTTTGGAAGAAACCTTTCAAGACAATGTATGTATGTGTAGATAACTCTAATACAGCAAAAGGGCAAAGTTACTCATTAGGACTATCTCAATAAATGATATACGTCCAAAATAATGAATCCATGGACAATGGATCGATGGAAGAAGTAATCTAATGATGTTAGACTGCAGAGACCTTCTTCACATAACCATAATGTCTAAAACCAATACATAATATGTCCCCTTCAAATGGGAAGGATGGAAAGTCTTAAGCTATTCATGTAGTGACACTAGGACAAGTTTGTAGGTGCTCATTAAGGGAATGAATTCACTGAACACAATCAAACGAGAGTACTTGCATGGAGGTCTACTCACATATCAAGCAAGTACTCTACTGGTTGGAATAATGTAAGTAATCCTTTGACCTGAGAAATCATAGTTGTCTTAGGGATACGTTGCTGATCATTTGATAATAAGACGTGACCACATCTCATCTTGGATGTGTTCTATGCATTGTTGGGGTCAATGATTTATTCTCAAAGGTATATGAATGATCAACAAAGGATCTTTAATCCTCATTATGAGAGGAAGAATACTCTTAGATATGATTCAGGAATCTTCGACCGAAGTATCAAGCGTAATGATGGAAAGCGTTCCTATACGACTTAACTGAATCATATAACTTGGTATAATGACATTAGGGGTTTGACATTAAGTATCCATACCCTAGTAATGTGATTGTGAGTATTGTATTAGAGAAGGATCGAATTATATTGTAATTCCAACTAAATAGGTTCTCCAACCAAATTCTACATTAGCTTGGGTAGCCATGGTATATGATTAGATGTCACTCATGGCTTGTGTGTTCTTCTAGATGATTAAATAAGTAGTCATCAAAGAAGAAGGAGAAATAAAAGTAAGTTTTAATTCAATGAGTGATTGGATAAATACTAATCAATTGGATTGGTACCAATCACCTCATTGCCTCGCTAATTAGAACATAAAATGATTGTACACCAATACACTCTTGTGGTGAGACAATTAAAGGAAGATGGAATTAATTAATTGGATTAATTAGAAAGTGTAAAGAAATCATAGAAGCGATGAAAGATCGTTTTGGGCTTAAAGAAAAATTTGGGTTTTTTGTTCAAGCATAGGATGACTTGAAATGATAAAAACCCAAAGTCCAAACCTACACTAAGGGGCCGGCCAAAGATGAGGAAAGAAGAGAGAGAAAGACTCAATTAGTTGACTTACTTCTTTTACCTTTATAAGGAGAGTTGAATGAAAAAGTTTCATTAGGGCTTTTGTGTGTTTTTTTCAACTTGAGAAAAAAAAGTCTCTCTCTCTCCACACACACATAGCCGGCCACCAAGAGGGGAAATAGCTAATCATCTCTTCTCTTTTTGGTTATTCCAACATCCATCTCACTACACTGGAGGGTGTGGATCTTTAAAGGTCTTCTACTTTGGAGACTAGAGGAGAATCAAAGGAGTTCCAAATCTATCAAGGTGGAGGAAACAAAGAGGGAGGCTAGACTCAAGGAGTTCCAAGAACAAAGAGCTTGGAGGCGGTCCATCCTTGGTCTAAAGTATACATCAAGAGGTATAAAACTCAACCTTCACTTTGTTCTTCAATTTTTTGTTTGATGCATCATATATGAACCTATGCTTCTTGAAGGGGATTTGCATGACTATAGCTTTGATAATATGTGATAATATGCTTCTGTTGCTTATGTATATAAATTTAGAATTGTATATGCATGCTAGTGACTAGAAATCTCATTATTTCCCTTGAGTGCCTTGATCTTGAATCGAACATCGTTACAAGTTTTAAGCTTGC